AGCCAGTTTCTTCACACATGTATGATCAAATACTGTATTTTTTCAACCTAGTTATCCATGGCAGTTGATTCTAATGACATTATTTGTCAAAGCTATTGCAAAGCGAATTCTCCTCATGTTAAAAAAAATTATTGCATTTCAGTGGTTATCAACATGTGCTCTATGAAGTTTTTTTCATGGCTCTGATCTGTTTCTTTTGAAGAGGAATAATAGTTATCGAAGTTGGATGGCATTCAATAATTTTCAAGACTAATTTTCCTCAACCTTTCGCACAACTTTTCATTGAAAAGCATACTTTCAGTTAGAATTCCTGTATAAATTGAAAAATGGATGAGATTTTTTTGCATTCTTGATTTTTTGGAGCTTTATTTTCTTTGCTAAAAGTGTTTTTGTTGTTATATTCTTGCTGCGACTCAAATGTGTACTTTTTTTAAAGTAATTTATTGAAGAAAGTGATAAGTATTAAGGGATATTTACTTTAAATGATTTCCCAGCAGTCCATTAATTTGACTTCACATGATTCAGTTCAAGATTTTTCTGGAGTTGATAAGCAATTGGCTATTCGAAATAAATTTCCATCAACTCAAGTATTACATTTTTCAGATAAATTGTATTTTTCCTCCAGTAGCACATTTGCTTAACCTTTGTTTTCTTTGCATTCTTGACGATTTTTTCATGTTTTTATTTATTCTGTTGCTTTTTTAAGGGAATAAAAATATCCAATGGCACTTTCAGAGAAGGCAGGAAAACTGATCGCCGTAATTGGCGATGAGGTTAGTTGAGGTTTTGTATGATATCTTGATTTGTAAGCATTTTATTTCAGTGTAACCTAAAAATAATTTTGATTCGATTGATTTTTCTGTACAGGACACATGCGTCGGCTTCTTATTGGGCGGCATTGGAGAACTCAACAAAAATCGGCATCCAAACTTTTTGGTTGTTGACAAAAGTTAGTATATTTATCAATATTACAAAATGAAATTCAGTTGAGATACCAGTAATTTTGAAAATTCAAAGATACGACTGTGGGCGACATTACGGACAGATTCCACGATTTTGTGAAGCGCAGCGACATTGACATAATATTGATCAATCAAGTCGTGAGTTAATTTTGCAGCTCGAGTTTTGGCAGAATAATAATCAGCTTCTGTTTTCAGTATGCTGAAATGATCCGTCACGTGTTGGATACTCACACTACTCCTATCCCAGCTGTTTTGGAGATACCATCCAAGGATCATCCGTATGATCCTACCAAGGATTCCATTCTGCGAAGAGCCAGGGTTGGTATATGCTAAAATTGCTCACATTTTGCAGCATAATTGCATTGAATTTGGAAAACTAATTTGCATCGAATTATTTCTTTCAGGGAATGTTCTCATCCGAAGATTTCCGATGAGCAAAAATCAGAAGATGGTGGGCAATCCAAGTTTGATTTCTTGCAAGAACAAATTACCAGCAGAATTCTCGGTGGACTAGTTGAACGGAATAGACGTGTGCAATTCATATGTATTGGGTTTTGAGATTATACGTTATATTTGTCAGATAACCGATTTGCACAGAATTATTTAGATTCCTTGGAAGAATATTCTGCAAAACGCAAACAGGTTGGCTGGGTTCAGATATACTCAGCATTAACATATTTCAAAAACTAAATTAAACCAAAATTACTGTAGCAATTTTTATCAAAGAAACGAATTTTTCATAGTTTTCAAGTCATGCTTGGTATGTTCAGCAAAAAAAGGTCATCAACTGGAGAGGGAATTAGTCATTTCCTGGCAGTGGATAAACTTTTCTTTCCCTCAGTCTGACCCAAAAAATGGTAACAACATTTTAAAAAGAAAATGCTGCCAGCATTTTGACATGTAACAGGAAACTATAATATACAGTAATATAAACTTGTAAAAAGTAAACTCCAGACTTCTACTCTCATTAATTGACCCAAAAGTTGTGATTTTTCTTCATTAACATCATACTAACTCTGGATTGAGATTAGTTTGCTTTCTCTTTTATATCCGGTAGAGAACATTCGGGATTTTGACTAGATTTTTTTGTAAGTTTATCAATGGATATTGAACTATAGATGAAGGTGTGTAATAGTGAAGACATTAATTACAGTAATATAATGTATTTGTCTTCAAAACAGTATCTTTAATATGCAAAGTCCAGTTGCCAAATACTTGTATATTCAAAGGAAAACCAAAGATAATGAAGAACTTGGCAGAAACATAAAAAAGCAAATAGCTATGAAAGGAAAATAATGGACCTCATATTCCCTGAGAGAAACCATTACTCCACAACAATGTTTATTGGAGCATTCAAATATGAACTTTAGCCTGATGTTGGAAGATAAATCACAATGATGCACAGAGAGGTGAGACATTTATTGAAGAAAGATCTAACCTCTGCTGCAGCATTCATGAAAATTGTTGAGCTTGGAAAGAACACTACTGTTAAAACCACATGACAAGCTGCTTATTCTGTTTTCACTTTCAAACATGGCATAATTGGCAATTATTACAGTTTCTTTAAACATTGCCTCTATATACAAGGGTTCTAACAAAAGTTCTTGGAGTCAACCACAAGCCATCACCGGAGGTGGATGAAAATTTTTTTATTGGATTCCTCATCCTCTTTTAACCTAGAACCAATTTTCTTGTCATCCCTAGACAAAAATGGAAACAGGAAAAAAAATTGAATGAGTTTTTTCTGGTGATGTGCCCACCCATTCTAACAGAAGTTCTTGGAATCAACCACAAACTGTCACCAGAGATGGACGTGGATTTTTTTTATAGGATTCCTCATCCTTTTCTGGCCTAGAATCATTTTTTTTTTTCATCCCCAGATGAAAATGGAAACGTAAAACAAAAACTTGAATGAGTTGTATCCGAACTTCACGGGTGGGTACTGGTTTCTCGTCAACGCGTACGTACGAGGACGTGTGTGACGAAACTTTTGAGAACTAAAGTAAAGTTTAATGGGCATTCAGCTTTTTACTCTTCCTTCTTACTCCCCTGATCTTGCTCCCTGAGTTTTTTGGTTGTTTCCAACTGTGAAAGAAGGGCTCTGTCAGGCCGATTAAACAACAAAGAGTAGAAAGAAGAGAATGGACACAGCAGTCAGCCTTTAATGGCCGGATCCTCTTTAGCAGAATCCCTTAAAAGCAGCACACTTTACTCAAGCCACAGGGTAACCACAGAAGGACCAGTAAGACTTTCACACACAGTTCAGACAAGACAAATCAGCTCAGCTTCTACACAACCACCGTAGGGCAATCCTTAAGCAAGAGTACCAAAGTCCTTGGAGACTTTGTCTGGGCTTTGTTGCCCAAGATCCGTATCAGTCAGCTACTGACCCGGTTTACCGCAATGCGGCAAACCGGGTTCCTATCCGCTTCTGGGCCCCTGCGCTGCTGTTGCTGCGCAACGTGCCCGAGCAAGGATGCTGCGCTTGGGCCACGCCGCATGGACTCGACCCCACAAAAAACCCCCCCTTTGGGTGACAATGGCCGGGAGGATGGAGACGGCCAAAGGACCCCAAACCAGGGTTGCGTAGAGGTTGCTGGTCACCGGGGGCTGGGAGGTGCGGGTGCGGTGGCACGGGGGGACGCGGAGCGTCCTTGACCGGTCCGAGTCCAGAGATGGTGGCGCGCAGGTGCACCAGGGGGTCCTGGAGAACAAAGAAGAGAGCTGCGTCACTCATGTCAGGGATCCTGCCAGGGGCAGAGGTCCCAAATTCGTCAAAAGTGCTATAGGAATCTGTTGCAATTTAGTAAAGTCAAGTGACTTAAGTGTTTGAGAAAGAAGGCAAAGGACCAGTGTCGGGGTCTGGAGCCACCGAAAGATTGCTTCTTTTTGTTTGTTGCGCCTTGTGAGGTGTTGCTGCGTGGCATCTGCATCCCCGGTCAGTCAGGTCCTGCTGCATACGTATGGTTATTGGGGGGGCCCCCTGAAATAGAGTAACAAGAGATGGGCTGGTCTTACCGTCAATTGCTGACAGGGCAGCCTTTGGGGTGTCCGTCGCGATTACTACAAATGCAAGGATGGCTGTCTCGGCTGAGGCCAGCATCCAGACATGCATGCGCATCCTTGAAGGCTCCACAAGCCTGAGGGATCCAGTTTTCACTGGTGCTGCTGCCAGAGGGAGGTCTTACAGTTCCGTCAGGAAAGGCTGGCCCTGCGGAGCTAGGAATTGTAGCATTTGTTGCACCTGTGCTAGGCGGTCACAGTGTTCTTCTTTGATTGCCAGAGGCGGAGTACTGAGCCGTGGTCCTTTCTTGTTTGCAGATCTTCAAAGCAACTCGCATACCATAAAACAGAACAAAAGTGCAAGATCGCAAAAACCAAACGCAAGAAAACCTACGTAGAAAGAAATCAATTGATTGCGTCAACTTGTGCAGATCTCACCAGTGCTTGTCAGCCGCCGTTGCCACAAAGCAAAGAAACAGAAAGGATCATGGACGTGGATGGCAAAGAACATGGACGGAGGCCGCAAACAAGAGCATAGCGGGGATCCCCCCTCGATGCCAAAGCATCAAGCATTGGAGGAAGATGTATTGGACCCCAGCATTTCCGGTAAGTAGCTCTGCCTGGGTTTCTGTGAATTGGTGCTTGAGTGTTTGTGCCTTGCCTGTCGCAGAAGAAGCTGACAAGACGCCGCCTGAGCTGGTGATTGCCAAAGCCGCTGAGGCGGAAGCTGCGCCAACTGGGGCGGCAGCTGATGTGGCGGAAGACTCGCAGGAGGCTGGGGCGTCCTCGCCGCTGTGCATACATCTGCCCGTGGTGGTTGAGGCAAACGCTGCCATGCTGGCAGGTCTAATGAAAGACAGCTGGCAACACCTGGTGGCTCTGATGCCGATGGCGGCATCTGTTGATGCAGTGACCGCTCATCGGAGGCACCTCAAACATCAGCTAAGACAGGAGAACGCAGCCACAGAGGCAGCGCATGAGCAGCAGAGCTCTGTGCAGGCGTCTGTCCAAGGGATGACAATGGCTGTGCAGGTGGCCAAGTCATTTTGTTGTTGTCTGCGCTTGGCCAAAACTGAGAACACCACAAGAGAGCAGGAATTGACATGGTGGGTAGCTGCCAAGTTCCGAGTCACGACGCAGGTTGCCTTATGGAGCTTGGGGCAGGCGTTCCCTGTCAGAGGCCAGGTTTTCCTGGCAGCAGAGGACGTCATTGTGAGACAGGAAGGTGAGTTGTGTCCCGGCGCTAGCCGTAGTGTCCTGCAATTCATGCAGTGGGTTCTTGACACAGGAGCGCTCTGGATGGCGTGCATGGCCACAACACCAAGCATCGAATTTGTGTGGGGGCCAGCAATGGACGTTGTGCTGGTGTGGTATGCTGGAAAACAACCAAAAGGAGCACCCAGGACTGCCGCCATTGAAGGGGCCGCGGCTGCAGCCATAGCTGCAACACGTCCCATAGAGATGCTGGCAGCGCCACCTCGCCAAAGATCAATGTCCCGAAGGGAGCCGTCGGCAATGAGGGAAGAAGAGGCAGCACTGCCGCCAAGAGCGCCGTCACCAGAGATGGCTGGATGCGGAGATGACCTGGATATTGAAATGCTGGATGCCCCGCCAAGTAAGTTGCGCCTGAAAAGGTTGGCTAGAGCCGCGATGACCCTTTTTTTTGGTCTGTGCAGTTGCAGATGTTCCGGAAGCAGAAATGTTTGAGGTGTTGACAGAGACATGGTGCTTTGAACCGGAGGATCCGGTAACGTATGACGCAAATGTGCATCAGTGCCAGGGTGCAACAGGGGATCGCTTGCGCTTTATGCGGAGCTTCCAGATCCCGACGCCGGGGTGCACTGTGGCGGACTACCAGTTTTGGTGTATCCAGTACTTGAGGATTCCCCCAGTTCCACGGGGGTTCAGCAATGGCCGCTAGTGCATGCTTGTGATTGGCGATTCCTTGCTCACCATGGCAAGGATCACACAAGAAAACTCCTGCTTTTTTGGCAGGGTGAGCTCCCGGTCAAACACGTCACAGCCAGTGTTTGATTATTTGTACCTGACGGAGGACTTGCCGTTTGAGGTCTTTCAAGTAAGTCCCAGGGTTGGCGGGTTTGTCACTGGGCTGTACTAAACAGCTTGATGTGTTTATCTCTGTAGTGGAGTTTGAGCGGCCTGGCCGCGTTATGTGGTTGGAACGCTATCTTGCCAGCGGACTTGCGCCAGCAGGTGTGGGTGGACCTGTGTCTGCCGGTGGATATAGAGTTTGTTGCCGTGCTGGTACACATCGGAACTAATGACATCAAGTTTTTGGTGTCGCGGATGGGGCATCCCCAGTTTTCGTCGTTTGACACGTTTTTCAACCAGCTCTGGATGTATCACGCCAACATCACGGACGCCTTTGGCTGTCCGGTGTTTGCGCTGGGCACGTCGCCGCCATCAGACAAAACGGATGAGGACGCTGATGCAGTATTCCATGGGCCAGATGGATATCTGGTCTTGCCAGTGCGGGCTTGGCAAGGCCCGACAACGGTTGCTCACCGCATGCATGCAGGTGGGCTGATGCTGTCCTTGCTGCTGTGTGGGTGGCAGAGGA